TTATTAAGGTGTAATGACTAGAGTGGATCAAAGCTTAGAGAAAAGGGTGTAAGAAAGTAAGGTGGAGTAACTAGAGTATAGAAAAGCTTAGTAATAAGTCCAAGTAAGGTTAAATTAGTAAAGATAAGCCCGGAGAAAGGTACTGGTCAGGTCTAACAAATAGAAATAAACCCAAGAATATGTAAAAGCCTTATTCTTATGTATCTTGAAAGTATAAAAAGGGTACCTATTTGCCCTTTCAATAAAGCTTTAAATTTCATTGTCTTTAATATTAGAGTATTAAGAATTGATTTCTCAAATTGATGTTATATAAGTTATCGTTGTATTGTTGAATCTATTTTATATTTTATTTCCTTTATCTTAATTGTGAAGGTGCTTCACGATCATATTATACATTTTGTTATTACTTTATTACTATATTACCTTATAAGTATCGACCCTTAATATCGATTGTACTAATTAACTATTGATATTACTGATTTATTTAATTATGATTACATAACTTGATTTATTTACTTGATTGATTACCAGTAAATATAATTAAGTGCCCCAATCTCGGATCAATTACGTAAACTCACGTGCTTAAGTTATTACTATAATCGAATTTATTTGTTGTTATATTACTTTGAGTTCTATACAAAGAATATATAAGTTAACTATTGGAGTTAAATTGTGCCGATAGTTCTAAAAGCTATTCCAAACAATAGTAACATTTGGTGCCGATTGTGTGGATTGAAAAAGATATTCGTGTTAAAGAAATTATAGATTTGATTAGAGATGTCTATTAATCAACAACCCCAACAGCCAGCTCAACTGAACCTGAATAACTTTTTACATAATTTAGCTAACCAAATTGCCACTTTGGTTCAGCAGATGCAAACTGTGCTACCCCGCAAGTCAACATTCCTGTTAATCCTCGGGAACTTAATACTATACCTTATCCCGAATTTCATGAAGAAGACCAGGATCCTATAACTTGGCTTGAAGATGTCGATAAAGCTTTTAAGGCCAATCTTATATCACCACTTCGAAAGATTTCTGTGATCATTCCAAAGCTTAAAGGTCCCGCTACAATGTGGTGGGCTACAAGAAGAAACTAGCAGCCTATAATTGATAGATGGCGTGATCCCTTGGTGCCTCACCAAAGTTTTACCACTCATTTCATTAATAAATTTAGAACACCTGAGTTAGAAGAAAAATGGTTTGCACAACTAACTCAAAAAAAGCAAATGCCAGGTGAAACTGTAGATGAATACCATATAGTGATTGAAGAATTAATTCGACGAGTAGATTCAGGAGGTCACTAGTACCCAAACATGGCTAAAGCTCAAATGTTTTTTAATGAACTCCGTCCTGAATTATTTGTAGCTATGTCACCTCTTACTTCTAACACTTTGGAAGAAGCATATACACGAGCAAAAGCATTCAAAAGCACTTACAAACAAGGATCTGTTCATGCTGCATATTTTGCACAGTCTATTATCCAACCCCATATAGAACTCCTATTTTGATTAATAATTTGAATATTAATTCAAATGAATCTGTTAAGGTTTTAAAAACTTTAACTGATAGCATAAATAAATTAATGACTCAAGTTCAAGACCAATAATGATCACCACCTCGATTTCAACCTGGAAATTATGTTTTGCCAACCATTACTTGTTATACTTGCGGACATGCTGGGTATTATAGTAGAAGTTGCTCTGAACTGCCTAATATTCGAAATAATTCTTCTGCTAATAATCAGCTGTCAAATAATAGTAATAATGGCATTAATAATGGTAATAATCCGAATGGAACAACTCCTCAGAAAACTTTACAAGCACTATTGGCATTAATAAATAATTCGGGAATAAGTAATAACTCAGAGAATCAAACTTCATATTTAAGCATACCGGAAGAAGATGGACCACTATTTCTACCTACCAAAAGATCTATTCGTCCCAGATCTATAGTGAATACACTGATCCTTCAAAAAAGGCAAGCTAAAACTAAAATAGTGAATTTAATCGACCTTGAAGAAACTGGAGGAAATAAAGACCCTGATGTTGAAATGGAAGAAGTTAATGAAGCCCAAGAAAACCAAGAATTACCAGACCCCATTGCCCAAAATCAAGAGAAGGTTGACTTAGTTGAGTCATGTGATGCAAGTAAAGTCGAATCACCTAAAGTAAATAAAAAAGAAGATGTGAAAGTAGTTTAGAAAAGGGTCAAACTATGCGACGCAAAATTAGTGTTGAAGATAACCTACCACAAATCTCTTCCTTAGTGACTCTATATTCCATTGTAGCTGACTTAAGAGATAAAACTGCTAATATTATATTTGGGCAATTGTTGAGAGCAGTAATACCTATGAAGCAAGAGTTATCATGATCATTGCAGAAGAAAAAAATTATTAATCGAAAGCGGGTTCAAGTTAACGTTAATATTCAACCTAGTTTGAAATCGATAGCTTTATATTGTGATGCTAAAGTCTTTGATCGAGTAATTCCACTAATTGTCGATAGCGGTTCTTCTGGAAGTGTTGTTACGACTCATTTGTTGAATAATCTTGGAATAAGAATCAAATAACCATCAGTAGTAAATATAGTCAATATTCATGGAGAAAGTAAATGTGCAATTGGAGAGATCTCTGATTTTCTATTTAATATCGGTAGTATTGAAATCCCGATCGATGTGGTAGTAACCAACACTAGCTCATATTGTGCAATTGTGGGGAATGATTGGCTGTCTAAAGTAAATGCAACTATCAATTAGAACAGATCCGAAATGACTTTAGTATGGGAAAATAAGGAAATTGTGGTTCCGGTAGAATTTCAGAAATTAGCTAAAGTACTGTTAGCTAAAGATTGGGTCGTAATAGTAAGAGATATTGAAGATGGTAATGATGAAGCTGAGGAAGAAATGGAAGATGATTTTGAAGAGGAAGAATTGGAAGAACAACTTTACGTAATGGCTACGTTTGGTAAAGAAGAAACCTTGATGAAACCTGTGATAGGTTAAGTTAGGAATGAGAAATTATTATGAAGAAAGATAGTAGATATGAAGAAAAAAACATGGTATTCTATGATGTAGAACCTGTAAAAGGTCTTATTGCAGCACAAGAAGAGGAATATCAGCCTATTTCTAATTTGTTCGATTACTACTATGAAAATAGAAACTGCTCTAATATTAAATATAATATTGGCGAAGTCAAAGATAATCAAAAGGAGCAATTATTCGAATTGCTTAAAAATAATTTGAATTCTTGCGTCCAAGATATCTCCGAGTTAGGTTAAACTGATATAATTCAGCACCATATTTCTACTCAGGATATATGGCCGATTCGATAGCAATTGTATAGATACTCTCAAGCCAAAAAACAATTTTTCAGGAAGAAATTAATAGTATGCTGGATGAACAGATTATTTGACCATCCACTAGCCCGTGGGTGTTGCCAGTTGTGTTGGTGAGGCAGAAAAAATCAAAAAATGCGATTCTGTGTTGATTATAGAAAGTTGAATGCTATAACTATTAGGGACAATTACCCCTTGCCGCAAGTCGATGAACTTTTGGATACTTTGAATAGATTATCATAGTTTACTTTATTGGATTTAGCCACTGGATATTGGCAAGTAGAGATGTTTGAGGAAGACAAAAAAAAGACTGCTTTCATTTCTTCTTATAGTCTTTACGAATTAAATGTTATGCCCTTTGGTCTTATGAATACACAAGCTACATTTCAAAAACTAATAGATCAAATCTTTAGTGATATATTTGGAAAGTTTGTTGTGATATATCTCGACAATCTTAATATTTTTTCGAAATCATTTGAAGAACACTTAGTGTATCTAAAAGAAGTATTCGAGCGATTGCAACAAGCAGGTTTAAAAATTAAACCTCAAAAATGCCATTTCACTCGAAAAGAATTGAAATTCTTAGGATATGTTGTAAGTGCACAAGGAATTTCTATGGATTTAGAGAAGGCCCAAGCCGTTCAAGAATTTCCGATAACTCAAAATGTGAGACAACTACGAGGATTTCTGGGATTAGTATCTTACTATCGTTGATTTATCCCAGACTTTACTAAAATCTCTACCCTTTGAATTCATTACTATGAAAGAACGTTGGATATCACTGGGCAACATGGCCTTCGAACGATTAAAAGAAAAGTCTCATTGCAGCTCCAATTTTGGCATATCTGAATTTCTCAAAGGCTTTTATTCTTTTTACAGATGCATCGGGTTTAGCCTTGGGGCTATCCTCTCAATTGGATGATAATGATAAAGAAAGAGTTGTTGCTTATACAAATCGATCTTTAATGCCAGCCAAAAAGAATTATTCAGTAATTGAAAAAAAGAGTGTCTTGCCATCATTTGGGCTGTTTCGTACTTTAGACCTATCTTTATGGAATTCCATTTACCCTCAATACTGATCATTCTGCATTTAAATCATTATTCTCTCATTGGTTACCCCAAAATCGACTGGCCAGGTGGATCCTAACCTTGCAAGAGTATACTTTACAACCATTCATCGATCTGGAAAAATTCATCTTAACGCCAATAGCCTTTCACGAATTTAAGTGAATCGGGTTTTAAATTTTTCTTTTTCTTCGATATATATATTTTTAC